ATCTAGGGCGTTTCTCATATTGTTTCTTCTTATGTCTGCTCCGTCATTTAATTAATGACTTCCTGTAATAATCAAATTAAAGTTTTCAAAAATATCCATCTTTTGTTATGGAACTTTCATCAATAAAGTGATGATATTCATGATTCCATACACCTTTAATAAGGAGAGAGCTTTAAGGAAATTTCAAGTCGGAATATGTTATGGACTTGGAGAATGTGAAGGAATGAAGAGGACAATCTCCAAAGAGAAATTGCCATCACAAAATGGCATCCTAGGAATTCAAGTAAAGAGGCAATTGAAAGTGAAGAAAATAGTATGATAAAAAAGTTGAATTCAAAGATTCAAAAATCAAATACAAATATGTGCAATTATGCAGTCAGTATAAAGATTTGGAGATTATTTAATAATCTTCAAAAAGAAATCATCAATATATCATGAGCTTATTCACAAACATAGCAATGTAAACTTCAACCCTATCAAATTTCATTAATGCATCCTTGGAATTCAATAATGGGGAAGTGACCGGCCTGATCAAAATATCAATGAGATTTCATTAAATTTTTTATAGTTTAAAATGGAGGCCTTCACCTAAAAGTTTCCTAGCAAGAGAAAGGAAAAAAAGGGTATTGAATTTGTCAAATTTACCAACGGATAAGAACAAAAAAGGCTAGCCCTCTTGAGAAAGAGAGACATGGGTTGAATGGAAAGTTTGAATAATTTGGATGCATGGGGATAATCCCAACAAAATAGGATTACAAAACCTTAAATAACTCAAATTCAAAGCACATCACGCTTAGTATACAAGATATTTGTTATAATATCAAATTAGCAAACTATAACATTTTTTTAATGAAACTATAGATTAGGCTATAGAATTATGAAACAAATTTTATATGATTTCTTATCAATTCATTTGAAATTTGGAGGCTTTTGATTGGTGCATTATGAATTTCTTATATTTATTAAACTTGAATATTAAAAGCATAACTATCTTAACAATATATATAATATCTTAGAAAAAAATTTATGCATAGTAGAGTTTTGAGTTCAATTAAATTTGAGTATACATGGAGAGTCAATTTGAAGTTGAATCAATATAATCCTTGATATTACTATCAAGTTATTAAGTTACATCAGAGGCTTAATAAATATAAACGAACAATTTCATATATAATTTAGAACTATACAAATGAACAATTTCATATTATAGTTCTAAAATATTTGGACAATTTTTTTTTTTTTTTGGAGGTACATTGAAGTCGATGAAACAACTTAATGTTCTATCATATATAAAAGATGACATTATAATTTTACATGATACAAATTATTAACTAAATATATACGTTGGTTTTTGCTCGATGACATCATTCAAGTTACAAGTAAGTTTTGAATATTTGTCTCTTATATCATCCTAAATGGATGGTCAATGCAATGTAAGATAATCTAAATACCTAAAACATCAATCATAGTTAGGTTATCAAAACAATCTAATTGAGGTGGAGATTGTTATCATGAAGCTAGCTACTGGATCCATCCCCTTCATCACTCATTAGAATTATATATAAAGTTAATAGCACAATATAAATTTGATTCCATGAGTGAGATCGACAATATCAATACTAAAGATGCCAACTTAGGATGAGCTACTAAGGATGCATGACCCATAAGTGGTAGGGAATTGGGTTATCATTGATGATTAATTGGTTGCATAAATACTAATATATCCTCTATTTTTACTTAATAAATCTTATAGCATTACTTCTATTAAAAGTTTTGCATATATTTTTAATTTATTCATCACTAACTTTATATTTATACAAGGTGGGAAAACTTCCCTCACTATGAATTATGAGTCATCTACATGTTATGGTGATGTTGATATGAGGGGCATGACACAAGGCTATAGACATGAGAATGGTTCGAGTCTACCAATATGCATTTTATGACACCCTTATCAAGCTCACTAACAATACTCATCATGGCATTTGAATCAATAATACTAAGTCTCAATTACACGATGCATGGGACTATGTAAATAAGTGTTAAAACCATGACATGCTTCAAAGGTAGAAAGAATGGTTTGATGACATATAATCATGGTAGAAAGAATGACTTCAGTCTTATGAAAGTTTCTCCAGAGCATGGTAGAAAGAATGGCTTCAATTGTAACAAACCATCTAAGCTATCATTGTGGCATCTCCTCTTTATTTCCTTTCCTTATGTTTAAGAAATAATTGAGTTCATATATATAATTACAACTTTACTTCAAGTATGTGACAATATATATTATAGCAATGTTGTTAATATTGTTAGCTATAAAAAAGCAAAAAATATATATGTTTAATACTTTGTAAGGGTGTACCTCCATATGCCATACTTTTTATTTGTACGTGATTGTGTTTATTGTAAAAATATTATTGTGATTGAATACTAACCCAAATCACCTTTGTGATGATTTTTTGTTGTTTGCAACAAAATTTCATTTTCTCAAATCTTATGCATTGTAATAGTATCTATCTATACCTTACAATAAGAATAGATCTAAAGTAAATTAATGCCGTAGAATGAACAAGCTTCCGCCATGCACCTGCTATAAGGATAAGGAAAGAGCATCGTATAATACATGTGATGAGAATATTGTCCAGTAACAAAGATAAGGCTTCCAAAACAACTTAAGCTTAGCAAAAAGTTGAAGACTAAGAAGATCTCAAAAAATTTCTTCCACAAGGACACTGTATTTAGAGGAATGTGATACCAAAGGGTAACTCAACAAATATGAAGGCTATATGTAATGTTCCTAATAGCCATATGTACAAAGGTATGAGATGAAGACAACTTTCACAAAATGATTAGAGGCATAGCTGTAATCATGGAAGCTGAGGTTGAGACAGGTTGTGGCTGTGATTGTGCAGAAAATGAATTGAATACTTCATCTGGAGTTTAACACCAAAGTTTAAGTAATTTAACAATATGGGTAGTCTAATAATTTATAAATTGAGAGGATTTATATTGTTAGATTGCTTAAAGTTTACGGAGTCATGCATATAAAGAAAATTTGAAGCTAAACATTAAATGCTTGGAAGTCTTTTGGCTTGGGCTTCTAATGGCTGGGATGTTTTTCTTGGAGTTTGTTAATTAAGTTTCCTATACTAAAGAAATGTGCCAGAATCAAATCATGCAGTAGTGTGAGCTAAGATTTTATAACTTAAGGTTTCAAAATCCTCGACAATGAGGCTAATTTTGCACGTACTGAGTGAGCAAAGTGGAGCAAAGAATCTCTCGCCTCTTCTCTTTTTTCCCCCTCTCCCATCTTATTTATACATTTTTGTATGTGCACATGAACAAAGAAAAAAAGTATTAATGGATATATAAATGCGTGCGCTAAATTTAGTGTGGTATGAAGTAGCCACCGAAGAATCCCACTAATTCTACTTAGCTTATTTTATTCAGAACGACTAAATTTGTATCAGAGCTATGGAAGTTGAAGTCGAATAGATGAAGTGATTACTTCATCAGGAGTTTACAACAAAGCCTGAGATTTTGAACAACTTTAGCCTTCTAATCAAACTAAAATGGTACAAGGCAAAAAAAAAGAAGCGCAAACGAACATCTAATTCCTAAACTAAAATGGTATAAGAACACTTAAAATAAGGAAGACATTAATTCAAGGACGCTTAAAATAAGGGGAAAAAATGGAAGAAAATAAAAAATGGCTCTTACGTCAAAGGAAACAGGTCCATAAGCAATTCAAAGCCAAATTAATATCTTATTTATTTCTCTTATGATTTTTATTTCTCTTTGCTTTTCAAACTGAAACTGTCATCAATTTTGCTTGTGCTTCGCAAGCAACGAAGTGTTGCTTAAAAGTTTCATACCTATTTGGCTTCTTCAAAAATTCATTAAAAAAATCTAAAAGAGAGGAGAAAAAGAAGCAAAACAAGAAACAGGTAATAAATCAACGAATTTCTAACGAAAATTAAAGAACTCCTGAAATTCCCTCATTTGGTAAGTTAATTATCTAACCAAGTTTAATTTCTAACAAAAATAAAGCATTACTAAATTAAGTTTTTGCTCCTAATTAGAGTCCAAACCTCAGCTAAACTCAAATTATCACCATAATCCAAATAAAAAAATTTTAGGAGTGATTCAAGTTTTGAACATATAGCAGTCAAAATTTCTTCTAAACAAATTATAAAAAAAAAAAGTTCCTTCTGTAACTTAATAGAAGAAAAGGATTTTCTAACCTTACATAGGTCAAAAAAGTGTACGTAGGTCTGAAAACCTAAATAACATAAAAAAAAGAGTCCTCTCATATGTGACGGTGCTCTCATCAGTTTCTCTCCATCGATGTGTATCCCATGTTGTCCAACTTAATTTGTTCAAGCACCCTTTCTCTCCTTGGAATCCAAACATATTCACACAAACGGAAATTTTCCAAAAGCTCTACAGCAACATTGTCCCACCGGATTCATGAAAAATCTATCTTCTAAGTTCTGATATAGCAAATCTTTCCTCATCTAAAAATCTAGCTCCATAAAGATCAAAAAGCCCAAACCATTTCAAAATAAAAGCACAGATTTGATCAGTAAGATATCTCCTTTCAGATGAAATCCATCAGATCAATACAAAAAAATTGCGCCCGCAATAAAATTTTGAAAAAAAAAATAGATATAAAGATATAAAATAAAATAAACTTGATTGTTATAAGTAGAAACAAGATATTTTCTTTCTGTAAAACCGTACTGCAGTTACCATAATTTACTTGCCAAACCATAATAAAAGATAGAATTAATGGATTCATGTAAACAAAGCCAGAAATTCGGATATTTGAACGTGAAAGAGGCATAGGTAGAAGAAGGGAAAAGAGAGTTGAAGCAGCCAAAAAGCAGCAGCAGATAATACTAAATAAAAACAACGCAAGAGATCTACGTCCTGTCTCAATTAAAACTTCCATTTTTATGTAGAAAGTGAGCGAACTTAGACAAAGAGGGAAAGAGTACCCAGCACTGCCGAACTCATAGAGCTTGCCTCGGCTTGAGAAGATGATGAGTGCGACCTCTGCGTCACAGAGAACAGAAAGCTCATAAGCTTTCTTGAGGAGGCCATTCCTGCGCTTAGAGAAGGTCACTTGACGATTGATCTTGTTCTCAATCCTCTTAAGCTCAACTCTTCCTCTCCCCATTATTTCTCTCTTTCAACTGGTCTTATTTTCCTAGCTTTCTTCTAGCTTGCTCATCCACTAGTCTTCTATATCTCTCTATCTCTCTTGAATGATATATACTAATAGAAGGATAGGGGAGAATATTACCAGAAGTGCTGCAAAAGAGGCCATTTGCAATAAGAGGTGGGTCTATATTTTTTCTATTTTCTTCAATTATTTCCTTTTTTCATGTATACATATGAATTTTTCACTTAGCTCTCTTCAGTTATTCTTCAAAGATGTAATTTTTTTTACAGGAAGCTGAAAACCAGCCTTCTTGTAGTTCTCTAATGAATATGGCAAATTAAAAGGTAAAGTAGCAGAAGCTCAACACAGTAATATTTTTTAAATTTTATTGCTTTTAACGGTCAAGATTTTACTGGGGATCAGGTAGGGGTAAGAAAAACGTGCTAGGGACTGAAGTGCTACGTGTTACGGTGGTTGGAGGCGTCGTATGAAACATCTATCCGTCCATTCTTGTTTTCCAAAGGTCAGGTAAATAATTAAATCCGTCACATCAGCCGTCGTGCCGCTCCTCTGCATATTATTCGATCTGCCAAATTTGCCCCGCGTTGGAAAGAGATGTTTCGCGTGCGTATTCAGCAATGAGTATCTACCGCTCTCATACAAATATACGCTCATTTAAGATATATATGACTTTATAAATGAAATTTCAGGCATATATTATATATGTTATGTATTGTTATATAATATGTTTGTGGAGTTTAGAATATATATATTTTTTTAATTTAAAAGATTTAGGTTGAATCAAATGTTTTTTGTCTATTGTAGAGGTTGACTTGCTTTAATTAAGCTTTATTAAATACTAGCGGCACTATAATGTGTTGTAGTAAGTATTGGGCATGTTGTGGTAACACACCCAAATATGTTGGTCCAGGCAACTTCACATGGATAAGGCGAGCTTGTCTTTGAGGATCTCGGCCAAGAGGTACACTTGCCCTAGATATGGCCTGCTTAAAGGAGGAATAGTTTGGACAAGGTTCAACAATGGCAGGCATTCAGTCCAGTGGAGCTCAAACAATGAGGCACACACCGTGGACATATATTTGACTAAGGAAGTAGCTTGCCTTAGTAGACCTTGACCCAAGGAGATACTTGCCCCATGAGAACTCAAAATAAAGAAATTAAAACTTACCCAATCAAGGTGATTTCTTCCTTAGAAGGGCCTTCATCCAAACTACATGAGATGCCCACCTACCAACTCTATTGTAATAGTGACTCCGAACTCTTCAAAGAAACGGTCGCGGATCGTACCTGGAAGCAAGAGTCTTCACACTCCAGCCTCCGTCGATGAACAAAGAAGCTCGTTCAACTTCCAATCCATGAAGTCGAAGACGAGAAGTTCTGTTTAAAACTGATTCGGCCAACTAGTTTTACCACCACCAGTGAAGTCACTGGATACAGAACAATTCCAGAGGAATCAAAGTAAGGGAAATCAATTCAACTGTCTCTTATTTCTCAGGGCAAGTTATTTATACAATTGTTTTAGTTCTATAATACGCTACAGTAAAAGCAATACAAAGACTAAGAAGAAGAGATTCTACTAAAGTTGCCCTGTAAGTGATTGCGATCAGCTCCGGCGTCAGGCTGCCGGGGTAGAAGAAACTTCAGGTTCGTAATAAGGAGAAAGGTCGGCCACATTGAAGGTGGCTGACACATTATATTCGCTGGGCAGCTCAATCTGGTAGGAATTGTCTCCAATTCTACGAACAATCCTGAAGGGTCCATCTGCTTTGGGTTTCAATTTGCCAAATTTACCAGGTGGAAACCGTTCTTTACGCAGGCGAATCCAAACTTTGCCTCCGGCGTTATACTGGACGGACTGTCTATCTTTGTCGGCCTATTTCTTGCACTTGTTGTTATGTTTCTCAATCATTTCCTGTACCTTCTTGTGCTGACTTTGAATTTCTTGACATCGTTGAGCTCCATCAGTGCTGTAATTGTTATTCTATATCCGCGGAATCAAGTCTAGCGATGATAATGGATTACATCCATAAGCTACTTGAAAAGGACTATGTCCATTAGCTTGATTCACAGACCTATTGAAAGCAAACTCGATCTGTGGTAAAATGAGATCCCACTGTTTTCAATTCTTTCCCACAAAACATCGGAGGAGATTTCCCAAACTTCGATTTATAGTTTCGATCTGGCCATCTGTTTGCGGATGAGCAGTCGAACTAAATTGTAGTTTCGTGCCTAGCTTACTCCATAAAGTCCTCCAAAAATGACTCAAGAATTTGACATCTCTATCTGAGGTAATAGATCTCGGTATACCATGTAGTCGGACGACCTCCTTGAAGTATAAGTCGGCAACGTGGGAAGCATCCAGAGTTTTACTACATGCCACAAAATGAACCATCTTGGAGAATCGGTCCACAATAACCATAATAGAATCTTTACTCTGTTGAGTTCTTGGAAACCCAAGCACAAAATCCATACTGACATCAGTCCACGGTCCTTCAGGTACTGGTAACGGAGTGTACAACCCGACCTTTTGTCCTCGCATTTTGGCGTTGACACAGATGCTACACGCGTTTGATAAAACGCTCAACATCACGACTGAGGGTTGGCCAAAAGAAATGTTCTTTAGCTAACGCTAAAGTCTTGTCTCTACCAAAATGACCCCCAATGCTAGAATCGTGACATTCTCGGATGATCTCAATACGGGTAGAGCATTGAGGAATGCATAATCTGTTCCCGTAAAATAGGTGATCATCTTGACAGTGGTAAAACTGATTCGGTCCTGTTTGACATTTAATCCATATGCTTCCAAAATCAGGATCCTGGGAGTATAATTCCTTAAGCGTTTCAAAACCAATCACTTTAGTCTGCAAAGTCTGAAGTAAATTTATTCTGCGGCTAAGTGCATCAACAACTTGATTGCATTTATCGGACTTGTGCTTTAATACATAGTGAAAGGCTCCTAAATACTCAACCCAAGCCGCATGTCTTCCTTTCAATTTTTGTTGAGTATTTAAAAATTTCAGGGCCTCATGATCGGTAAATAAGATAAACTCGTTTGGAAGAAGATAATGCTCCCAATGTCGTAGAGATCGTATAACCGCATAAAACTCTTTATCATATACGAAATATTTTCGTCTAACTTCGTTAAGCTTTTCACTAAAAAAAGCTACGGGATGACCCTTTTGACTGAGCACAGCTCTTATTCTCACATTTGAAGCGTCACAATCGATCTCAAATATTTCTTCAAAGTTGGGTAATGCTAGAACTGGAGCAGTAGAAACGACAGTTTTTAGTTGTTGAAACCCACGGTCAGCCTCTTTAGTCCACGAGAACTTGTCATTTTTGAGCAATTCCGTAATGGGGGCCGCAATAGAACTAAATTTTTTTATAAAGCGTCGATAAAACGATGCTAGTCCATGAAATTGGCGTACCTCAGTAATGGATTGCGGTTCTGGCCACTGGCTGATCGCTTCAACTTTGATTGGGTCTGCAATCACTCCCTCAGCTGAAATGATGAAACCCAAAAACGAAATGCGGGTAGTTAAAAACTGACACTTCTTAAGGTTAGCAAACAAATGTTGTTCTCTTAGGATCTCAAATACACTCTGAAGATGTAATAAGTGTTCATCTGCATTGGGGCTATATATTAATATATCATCAAAGTAGATCACTACGCATTTGTTCAAAAGTGGTTGAAAGACTTGATTCATAAGTCTCATGAAGGTGCTGGGAGCATTAGATACTCCGAACGGCATTACCATCCATTCATAAAGTCCTTCCCGCGTTTTAAACGCAGTCTTCCATTCGTCCCCCGGCCGCATTCGTATATGATGGTAACCACTCCTCAAATCAACCTTGGAGAACAAAGTAGCCCCATTTAACTGATCAAAGATATCGTCAATACGCGGAA